ACTGTTTGTTTTGTAGTTGTTGAGTTGTATGAGTTATTTATATATTTTGGATATTAACCCCTTGTTGGAGGTATTTGCAAATATCTTTTCCCATTCAGTTGGTTGCCTTTTTGTTTTGTTGTCAGTTTCTTTTTCTGTGTAGAATAGTTTAATGTAGACCCACTCATTTATTTTTGCTTTTACTTCCCTTGCCTTGTAGGTCAACTTCATAAAGTCCTCTTTAAGACCAAGGTCCAAAAGTTGAATACCTATTATTTTCTTCTATGTAATTAATTGTTTCAGGTCTTATATTTAGGTCTTTGATCTATTTTGAGTTAATTTTTGTATATGGTGACAAAGAGCAGTCTAGTTTCATTCTTTTGCATGTGGCTTTTCAATTTTCCTAGTACCATTTATTGAAGAGACTTTCTATATTGTATGTTTTTGGCTCCTTTGTCAAAATCTTTTGCCCATGTACATGCACGTGGGTTTCATTTCCTGATTCTCAATTCTGGTTCATTGATCTGTGTGTCAATGAATGAGAATTGACAGTTTTTCTGCCAATACCATGCTGTTTTGATTATGGTTGCTTTGTAGTATAACTTGAAGTCAGGAACTATGATGCCTCCACATTCATTCTTTTTTCTCAATGTTGTGCTGACTATTTGGGAGTCTTTTGTGGTTCCATATAAATCTGATGGTATTTTGTTCTATTTCTTTAAAAAATGCCATTGGGATTTGATGGGGATTGCATTACATCTGTATATTGTTTTGTGTAATATGGCCATTTTAACTTTGTTGATACTTCCAGTCCATGAACATGGAATATCTTTACATTTCTCTGTGTCTTCTTTCATCTCTTTTAATGATGTCTTACGGTTTTCAGTGTATAGGTTCTTCACACCCTTTGTTAAGTTTATTCCCAGGTATTTTATTCTTTTTCAAAAGGAATTTTTTTAAATTTCTTTTTCTGAAATTTGTTAGCATATAAGAATGCAGTGGATTTTTGTACATTGATTTTTGTATCCTGCAACTTGATTGTATTTGTTTATTGTTTCTAATAGGTTTTTGGTGGAGTCTTTAAGATATAAAGAAAGATATGAAGAAAGAATCATGTTGTCTGCAAAAAGTGACAAGTTTACTTCTTCATGCCTTTTCTTTCTTTCTCTTGCCTGATTGCTCTGGGCAGGACTTACAGTGCTGTGTTGGGCAAAAGTGGAGAGAGTGGGCATCCTTGTCTTGTTCCTGATCTTACAGGAAAAGCTTTCAGTTTTTCACCATTGAGTATGATGTTAGCTGAGGGTTTGTCACATATGACCTTTTTTATATTTAGGTACTTTGTTTCTATAGCTATCTTATTGAGTGTTTTAGTCATAAACAGATGCTAGCAAATTGAATACAACAATACATTAAAGTGATAATACATTATCATCAAAGGGGTTCATTCCGGCGGCACAAGGAGAGTTCAGAATATGCAAATTGATCAATGTGACACATCAAATTAACAAAATGAAGGATAATAATACATACGATCATATCAATAGATGCAGGAAAAGCATTTGACAAAATACAACATCCATTGATGATTAAATCTGTTTCTTATTTTACAGATTCATAAGACACCTGACTCATTCTCTCTACTAACAATTCATGAGAAAATGATATCTTTTAATGAGAGTTGATGTCTAAGGTTTATGAAATTTCCTAAGTAATTTATTCATGTCAGAAATTTAAGTATAAATCATTTTTATTATTATTTTTTAATCTTCACCTGAAGATACATTTATTGGTTTTAGACAGAGAGGAAAGCAGGGAGAGAAACATCAATGTGAGAGGGAAACATCAATTGGTTGCCTCCTATATGTGCCCTGACAGGAGACCAAACCCACAACCTGGGTATGTTCCCTGACCAGGAATGGAACCCATGACCTTTTGGTGCACAGGACAGTTCTCCAACCGAGTCACACCTGCCAGTACAGTATAAATCATTTTTAACATTAAGACCAACCTCTGTTCATTAATAAGCTCCTGGCCAATATTTTTCAAGCCACCATTATTGGCTAGTCAGACATTATTAGGTTGTAAAATCATCTTCTTTGCTTTTTATATATTGGAAATCTAGGCTCTTAAACATTTTTAGTTTCATATTTTCAAGTGCCCTCTAGGAAATGCCCTGGAGAACCCAAATTGAAAGTAAGTATATAAGTCTTTATGATGTAACTCTGATTCCAGTGAAATCTAACAACTACCATAAATCTCTCTTCCATACCTAACCCATACTTTTACCAAATGACACATTCAGTTTGTCACATTCAACTTTTAAGTAACCCTGGCTGGTGTGGCTCAGTTGGTTGGAGCATCCTCCCATAACCAAAAGGTTGAGGGTTCACTTGCAGTCAGGGCACATGCCTGGGTTGCAAGTGTGGTCCTGATCTGGGTTTGTGCAATCCCCAGTCTGGGCACCTATGATCCCTGGTCTAGGTGCATGCAGCCCCAAGTTTGAGTGGGTACAAGAGGCAACTGATCAATGTCTCTCTCTTTCTTTCTAAAATGCAATGGAAAAATGCCCCTGGGTAAGGATAAAAATAAATAAATAAATAAATAAATAACAAAATTCAAACCTTAATACCTAATTTAGATTTATGGCTCTATAGAAGTAATGTGGAAGAAATTATAAACTGTGCTATTTAAATTAATTAAAAGTAAATAAAATTTAAAATTCAGTTCTTCAGTTGCACCAGCCACATTTAAAGTACTCAGTAGCCACATGGAACTAGTGGCTACTATGCTGGACAACAGAAATGCAGCACATTTATTGTACAGTGTAGATGCAGGACAGTACAGAAAGTTCAACTTGACAACATTGTTTAGAAACTGATACAAAAGGCACTTTAGTTAATAGTGAATATATGTATATTTTAAAATGCCCATGTAATGGCTTCTCAAGTGATAAAGCAACCAGATTGTTTATAAATAGAACCTATAATTTCATTTATTGTGCAAAAAAGTGCCTTTTAAATTTATAAATTCCACTTTCTTTCCTACAACTTTTACCCTAAAAGATTTACAAATGCAGAACTTCTAAAGGCTACATGTGCAGAATTTTATGTATAGCTAGTTCCAGATTCCCAGAATTTCTTCAATCCATTTTATACTCTCTTCCCTTCTACACATTTGATCATTAGCTTGTCCATAGCATGTTGACTTAAATCTTTAGCACATATATATGGGGCACGGCAGGGCAAAAGTAGATTTACAGTTGTGAGTACATGAAACAGAGTTTATTCTTGTATTATTGTTTATTAATTATGGTATAGTGTTCCATGTAAACAACTGTAAACCTACTTTTGCCCTAGCCTCTCTGTATATTTTTTTAAACTTCTTTCTAATCTGCTGACTTAGACTGGAGCTTCATGGTGAACAAAGGCTAGTATAAAGCCATTTTTTTGTGCATCATCTTGAGGTAATGTCTTTAAGTGCCACTTATATACCTTCATATTTTTCAGCTTTCTATAAAAAGTGATTTTCTTCGTTCTTAAAGAAATATGCACACAACCCTTAGTAAGAATGATTAAATAATTTTTCTTCCCTCGTTTTTTTTCAAAAGTGGACCCTTCTGATAAATTGTTTTATAATGCCTGCCCAAGTGGAGGCTGAGGCAGGGAAGAGTTAGGATGAGCCTGGAATATCTTGTGCCTGAAGTAAAGTACTCAGAAAAATGGTGGGAACATTAGATCAAAGGATGTCAGAGCCCGCCTAAAGGGGGTTCCACTGGCCAAATTCGGGAAAAATTGAGTATAGTAATGAATTATAAATCACTGAAAAAATAGGCACCTCCGAGTTCATCCTGATGGATGGATCAATGGATGGATAGATGAATGGACAGACAGCTGGAGGGATAGATGGGTAAGAAAGGAAGGCTCTTCTTTTTTTAATTTGTATTTATTAATTTTAGAGAGGGACTAAAGGAGGAAAGGAGAGAGAGAAACTTAATCTTGTTCCACGTACTTATACATTCATTGGTTGATCCCTCTGTGCACCCCGACCAGAGATCACCAGCAACCCTGACGCAGTAGGGCGACGCTCCACCAAACTGAGCTACCCGGTCAGGGCAGAAAGTCTCTTCTTTATACTAGAACGCTGACTGATAAGTGTGGATGGGTTAGTAAAACTGGAAAATCACTATTTCACAACCATCATAGTAAAGATTGGTTTAGGCAGGAGTTATCGGTGGATGCTAAATATAAGGGGAAGTTTATCAAGGAACAGGATGTTTACATGGCCTTAATTGTCTTCCCACATACTGCTTCTTAATTACCAGAAAGTAACTATGAAATGGGAAAACCAGTGAGAGGCAGATGGGCCTCTTTTCAATAATCTTGAAAGATACTCAACACAATTTATTTCATATTTGTATGTAAATGGATGCATACACTGAATCTAGTCATGAGGAAACATCAGACAAAACAAAATGAAAAACATTCTGCTATTTTTAAAACATCTTACATTTTTAAAAATTTCAGTGTCTTAAAAGATGGGGGCAAGGAGAACAGGGCAAGACTGAAAAACTATTCCAGCTTAAAGTAAACTAGAGATGTGACAACTTACTGCAAATCTTTGATATAGGACTGGATCTTGGACAAAAAGTGAAAAAAGGTAATAAAAAGAACATAATTGAGACAATTGCCAAGATTGGAATATGGATGGCAGATTAGAAAAAGTATTAATGTTAAATTTTGTAACTATACTATGGCTATTGTTAGAGAATACCTTTGTTCTTAGGAAATACACCAGTGAAGTATTAAGTAAAGGATCATGATGTCTGTAATTTATTCTCAGATGGTGCAAGAAAATAATTTTGTGTGTTTGGAGAGAATACAATAACAAATATGCTGTATCATTAACAGTTGGTAAATTTGTGCAAAGGTCATGAAGGATTCCTTTATTTGTCTTGCAAATTTTCTGTAAATTTGAAATTATTTCAAAATAATTTTTTTTAAATTTTATTCACTGTTTTCTAGCCCTTTCTAAGGCACAAAATGACCTGATGACAATGAAGATACAATCAGAGAATCTTTCAAAAGAATACGACCGACTCCTAAAAGAACACTCAGAACTTCAGGTGGGTGACATCTATGTTATGGGCCTAAATTTTTTGAAATTGTAATTACTTAAATCAGCTATTTGGGTTATTTGCTGTTCCCAAATCAAGAGGTTGTACTTAATCCTGGCTTTGTTAAGTGATTAAGGAAGACAAAATTTAGAGGGTAAAGATTAGGACATAACATGGAAATACAAGATAATCGTAACATAGAGAATAACTGACATACTAACTTAAAACATCCTAGTTTTTGGTGAAGCTTTAATCAAAAGAATTGAGCCACAAAAACGGCAGCATCAAAAAACACATTGGTTCTAGAAAATTTTGTTTTGCTCTTTGGAATATTTATCATATCCATACCAAAGAAAGACCAACAATGAAGTCCCTCATCACACTGCTCCTTCTGTCCTGCTCTTTTAAGCATTTTAGGACAAAGCCTATTGGCTTTGATTTACCTGCAATTGATTTGAAAGAGAAATGAAAAAAATCTTTTTGTTGTTAAAGTCACAAAGTTGGGGCCATAGATATTTCTTTCTCTTCCCCTCCAGTCTAGCAGTGTAAGTTCCCAACATTTATTCATGTTGGGTTTGTTTTTTCCTTTCCTCTTGGGCTTCCAGCCCCTAACCTGAATTGATTTCCCAGCCAGACTTTGACCATATGTGGGGAGAATTCAAGGGAGCAACTTCCATGGGCAGCCCTGGCCATCCTACCTCCTCCCAAGATGGAGGGTCTGTGCTCTTTTTCTTTCAGGTTGGGCTGATCCTTAGAATTTGGCAGCCTTGTGTCTTTCAATCAAGGCTTTTTAGCAATTACAGTTTACAGTTAACTTCAGTACACTCATTGTTCCAAGACTCATTTCCCTGCATTGTAATTATATCTCCAAGGTCTAGCACTGTGCCTGGCGTAAGACAAGGGGGCACTATACCCATAGGCCTTTGACTCAGGCAGACCTGAAGTAGCTACTAGCTTTGTGATCTGAAGCATGTTAATGTAACGCCTCTGGGGCTCATTATTCTCCATTTGTAAAATCAGAACAATAATAGCACCTGGATCACTGGGTGGTTGGGACTATTAAATAGAATGTGAAGGGTGCTTAGCATTGTGCTAAGTAAATACTCAAGATAGCTATTAACATAATTATAATCATCATCAGTATTAATCCCTCTGTAGAAGTTTTGCTGAGAGAATGATATTCTCAACCAGCCACTTGGCCTTCATCTAGAGCCACTCAAGGGCATTCCCAAGCATATGTGTAATCTGGTATTCCAAGTTCAGTTGCATGTTTGATTTAACTAACGTACTTTGACAATAGGACAATGCAAAGCAGAGTAGATACCCATTGTTTTAAGCCCAGAACACTAAGATCTCAGTTCACATTGTCTGTAGTGGGCAGTTACAATATCAGCAATACCACCACTTTCTCCCCATCTCTAAAACAGTGGTCCTGGTGTTGCCATCTTCACTATGGCATCCTTCAAGATCCACCATGGAAAGCAAAAGAACAGCCCTGGCTGGTGTGGCTCAGTGTGTTGAGCACCAGACTGCACAGCCAATCAATGTTTCCCTCTTTCTTCCTCCTTTCCCCGTCTCTAAAAATAACAAATAAGATGTTTTTAAGAAAGAAAAAGAATGTGAAGGAACACTTCAGAAGCCTCTTGCCTAGAAATAGAACTTTTTGTCCTCCCTCTTGTGAGGTCAGAATGACCTCACATCAACAAGGGTGAGGACCGACACCAGTGGACTTTCCCAGAGTGTCAAAAATGTTTAAGAGAAGCAGGAATATTCCCTCATTTTCTTATGGCTAGTGGCTATTGCTTGAATGTTCCCGTTGTTGGAACAGTTAATGATTCTCTTAATCCCTGAAGAATATATGTGATAGCGAGATTTCCTCAGCCCATTTTCTTTCCCCCTCAAAAGGCCTCAGCTTGGAGCTTATGCATTCTTGATAAAAAATGTTAAAGAACTTTAATGAGTAATTCCTTCCCCAGAAAGTAGGTACTCTGTCATACCCATTTCTTTGAAAAATGACCCCATCCCAGATACCCCAAGTGCCATGCCAAAAATTGGGTCTCGTTCACTAGTGCTTTTAGGCCTGGACCTAATTTCTGCTTGTATCAGGTTTTTTGAAATATTTAATGGATAACATTTAGTAAGGGTGTGGTCTGGACTAAGCACCTCACTTCACGTAGGTTACCCTGTTTACTCTCCATCACAGCCCTCTAAATTAAGGTATTTTAATACCCTGTTTTGTAGATGAGGAAAATGGGAACCAGAGATGTTATATAATGTACCCAAAGTCATTGAACTAAAAAGTGATAGCATTCAAAGTCAGGAAGTATTTCTCCAGAACCTCCATCATTAACCACTGTGGTCTTTGGCCTGTGCCAGTCATTGGACTGTATTCTGGGATTCATCCTCTTCCCACTGCTCCTCTGCTCCATATCTCAGGGAGATAGATGTATTTTTCTAGGCTCTATCTCTTTCCACAGTTGCAGTTCCCACTGGTCAGCTTCCACCTGGTGGCCCTCACTCCTGGGATCCATAACACTGTCTCCTCCCTCATCCCAGCCTGAAGGATGGTGGTGGTTTTCTGCTATTAATCCCTTAGGCACCTTACTACCCTGTTTGGTGTGTGTGCCCTCTCATCACTATGAAACCAATCCTTGTAATAAATAACTGAAGGAAAAAAACTCTCAGCTCCATAGTTTACCATTTCTATAAACCTCAGGTAAAATCATTTGACATCTGTTTTCCTTGGCTGCTTCATTACTTAAATGAGTATTATAATACTTTGTGAGCATTACACCAGATCCTGTACAAAAAAACACTTTAAATATTTTTAAACAAGCCCTGGCTGGTATGGCTCAGTGGATTGAGTGCTGGCCTGCAAACCAAAGGGTCTCTGGTTCGATTCCCAGTCAGGGCACATGCCTGGGTTGCAGGCCAGGTCCCCAGTGAGGGGCATGTAAGAGGCAACCACACATTGGTGTTTCTCTCCCTCTCTTCCTCCCTCCCTTCTCCTCTCTCTAAAAATAAATAAATAAAATCTTAAAAATATGCTTTGGAAAAAATATTTTTAAACAAGAAAAGCTTTATATAGCTATAAAATGCTAGTAATTATTTCTTGATTGGACACATTTTTTCCCATTCACCTGCTATCCTATCCACAATGTTGTCCATTATGAGAACATGTGTAAAATTCTGAGATCCAGGTGTCATTAACTGAGAACCATTGTCTTAAAGTGACTCTTACACTTTGATATCCACCTTCGGAATCCAAATGGAGAATCAAAAGATTGCTGTAGACCATCTATGGTGAAAAGCTGTATCACATTGTCCTGTATGAATCTTACTTCTTTTGTCAGACTAACCTTAACAATTGAATAATCCTGAAGTTCTTTGAGAAACTTAGCTTTCTCAATTTTACATAGTTGATTTACTTTAAATAAAGTTATCATAAAATACAGAACTGTAAAACATTAAAGAAACAAAGGTGGTAGAGGGGAAAGCTGATTTCTTTACTGAAACAAATCCCAATTTGTAGCTTTTCAACCCCTTTGGGTTTCCCCATCTGGTCCCCTATCTGAAATATTAGGAAACAGTCCCTTCAGAAAATGTAGTTTTTGCTTTTCCTTGTTTGCCCTGGCTCTCTTCTAGAGAAGAAAAAAACAGAACTAAGGGTTATTAGCAGCACAAACGCTTAAGCACCTGCCAAATTTTTAATTTCATTTTGGATGATCACCCTTCACTTAAGGGACTTGTCCAGAATAACAGCTCCATTAAAGCTATAATTTTATCTAAAGTGGTAAGAGATATGTAAACACATACAGTGATACACTATCATTTAAAATGCCTCCTCTAATCCTGTCTTCTGATTTGGTTGCTTAAAGTTAATGTTATTAAAGTTGTTCTGAAAGCATCAATGCTCAGCCTGAATGAGATCTTGATGACCTTCCCATGTATATGCAATAATACTGCAACTCTATTTTATGACATTTTTTCCTGCATGTAGACTTGTACCTTGTTAGTGCAAATGATTTTTTAAGATTAATTTCTATCCCATTTTTGTCCAGTTTTAAATTATGTATTATAGTCAACTCTTAACATGATCAGTAAAGAGTATTATTTGAGAAGGTAGTTCTATTGTCAAATATCTGAAGAACAACAATAAAAAAAGGCCAGCCCATCTGGGTTTTTGCTTTTCTTTATTTTTTCTCTGCCAAAAAATCTTAATTGGATTCGCAAGAGGAGAATTTTAGAAATTTTGTTTTCCTGATATAAGTGTAAAACTAAAGCAAAATAGATTGAGACAGGCAGGGAAAAAAAACTTAACAAGAGTGTTATTTTCCCTTTTAGACAATTTTTCAAATAAAATCCATCAGTTTTGTGGTTTTTAAAATTTGAGACCTTCTCAGTACATACTTCACTTTTATTACTCTTATAATTAATAACTATACACAGAAAAGAGAAAAAATTTAAAGTCCTTGTCATATCTATGAATCTGTTTCTCACTCTTTGCTATGACTACTTAAGTCATTTTTTTCTTGCAGGGTCATCTAGGAAAAGGCAACAAGAAAGGCCAGTGAACTGTATGAAAGAAGATTGCGACACACATGTCAAGATAATGAATTTGTGATCATGTTAGCCTCTAGAAAATTTAAAATTCAGTCCAGAAAAATGTACTCTGACCAGCCAGTATTTTTTAAATGTCATGCACAATGGCATCATCACAATATTTGGTGATGTTTTACACATGTTGTACAGTATTCTGGCTCTTAAATAAAATATAAGCATGTTGCACACAATATTTATATATTCATAGTAACACTGGTGGATGGTGGTTGTTTACCAATAGAAGGAAAAAGTCATTAGCCAGTTTCTTCCAAAATTAGATTTTTAAGTTGCATAAAACCATTAATAGCCTTTAAAAGCTTTGATGAGGTTCCCCTACTAATAATCTAATTAATCATATGATGATAATGATTATGTATTTGAGTATAGTATCCAGTACCAGCAAATGTGTTCATAGGGATATTAAATAAGGGTAAATGATCACAAGTTGCCACTATATTAAAAGAGAAGAGTCAGAAAGTGCAAAAAATAAAAACAGTGACCTTAGGCTTTTTAAGCCTGATGATACTATGGTTTACTCTCATGAGACAACTATATTTATAATTTTTGTTACTGTACTTCTGCAACTGTTGGACTGTTTTTGTTGACATTTGTGTTAATAACATAAGTGTTCAACCTTTTAAAAGTTTATCTAGGAATGGAGTTTACATCTATTTGCATTAACTGTTAGAGCACTGAACTGAAATTATTTTACAATAATGAGGAATTCTTGACTCAGAAACTTAATGTACAACATATTAAAAAAAAACAAGTATTTCCCATTGCTGTGAGAGTTACTAATTATACAAATATTACCTCAAATATACATCTGGAGTCACAGTTTTTCTGAGATGTTTCTGTACTCTGAAGGCTAAATAATAATATTTTTTCATTCAAATATGCATTTAGAGTTTCCTTTAGATGTTAATCATTACCACTTTAACATGATTTAGGTTGTTCTAGTGTTTAGACATCAAAATTATCTTCCATGTCTCATAAAAACCTAAATATAAAAGAAAATGGAGCCCTGGCTGCGTCACTCAATTGATTAAGATGTTGTCCCAATACACCAAGGTGTTGTTTGTTTAATCTCCAGTCAGGGCACACAAAAGAATCAACCAATGTTCCCAATACCATTTATTGAAGAGACTTTATTCCATTGAATGCTCTTGCCTTCTTTGTCAAATATTAACCATGAAGGCATGGTTTTATTTCTTGGCTTCCTGTTCTGTCCCATTGATATTTATGCCTATTCTTATCCCAGTGCCAGGCTGTTTTGATTACAATGGCCTTGTAGTATAGTTTGATATCAGATATTGTGATACCTCCAGCTTTGTTGTTCTTTCTCAAGATTGCTGAGACTATTTGGGGTCTTTTTTGGTTCCATATAAATTTTGGGGATATTTGTTCTAGATCTGTGAAATATGTCTTTGATATTTTAACAGGAATTGCATTGAATCTGTATATTGTTTTGGGTAGTATGGACATTTTAATGATGCTAATTCTTCCAATTTGTGAACATGGGATATGCTTCCACTTGTATCTTCAATTTCTTTCTTAAATGTCCTATAGTTTTCTGAGTACAGGTCTTTTACCTCCTTGGTTATGTGTGTGTGTGTGTGTGTGTGTGTGTGTGTGTGTGTGTATTCCTAGGTACTTTATTATTTTTTTGTTGCGGTAGTAAATAGGATTGTTTTCTCAGTTTCCCTTTCTGATAGTCCATTACTGGTATATAAAAATGCAACTGATTTCTGAATACTAATTTTTTTTCCTGCTACTTTGCCAAATTAATGCATAAGATCTAGTATTTTGAGTGTGTGGAGTCTTTATGGTTTTCTATGTACAGTATTATGTGATCTGCAAATACTGACAAATTTACTTCTTTCTATCCAATTTGGATGCATTTTAATTTTTATTCTTGTCTGATCACTGTGGCTAAGACTTCCAGAGTGGTGAAAGCAGACATCCTTGCCTTGCTCCTGATCTTAAGAGAAATGTGTTTAGTTGCCCATTGAGTATAATGTTTGTTGTAGGTTTGTATATATGTCCATTACTATGTAGAGGAGTGATCCATCTATTCCCACTTTGCTGAGAGTTTTTATTATAAATAGGTGCTGAATTTTATCAGATTGTTTTCTGCATCAATATAATCATGTGATTTTTATCTTTCATTTTGTTTATGTGATGCACCACATTTATTGACTTGCAAATATTGTACCAACCTTGCATTCACAGAATAAATCCCACTTGAACATGGTTTATTTTTAGTGTATTCCTTGATTCAGTTTGCTAATATTTTGTATTGGACCACCAGCTTACCCATACACAAGAATAAACACAAAATACATAAAAGACATAAATGTAAGCCACAAAATCATAAAAATCCCAGAAGAAAACATAGGCAGTAAAGTCTCAGACATCTCTCATAGCAGTGTTTTTGCTGATGTGTCTCCTAGGGCCAGGGGAATAAAGGAAAAAGTAAACAAATGGGACTACATCCAACTAAAAAGCTTTTGAATGGCAAAATAAATTATCAACAAAATGAAAATGGAACCCACTGTGGGAGAGCATATTTGCCAGTGATACATCCAATAAGAGATTACTTTTTAAAACATGTAAAAAAACTTAATACAACTCAACAACAGGGAGAAAAACTATTCAATTTAAAAAAATGGGCAAAGGGCTTGAATAGACACTTCTCCTAAGAGGACATACAGATGGCCGATAGACGTATGAAAAATGCTCAACATCACTAATCATCAGAGATGCAAGTTAAAACCACAATGAGATATCACTGCACACCTGGCAGAATGGCTGTCAGCAATAAACCAACCAACAGAGCTAGTGAGGATGTGGGAATGTAGACTGGTGCAGCCACTGTGAAACCCAGTATGGAGTTTCCTAAAAAAATTTTTTTGCATAGAACTGCCCTTTGATCAAACTCTACTACTGGGAATATATATTAAGAATCCCAAAACACTAATTTGAAAGCTCAATGAACTTAGAAGAAGAGTACATGAACTTAGAACTTTAACCAAGAGATAGGAAACATAAAAGTAGAACTAGAAAGCATAAAAATGACCAATCAGAAAGGAAGAATACATTCCAGAAAATCAACAGTAGAGTAGATGAAGCAGAGCATCAAATCAGTAATTTGGAATATAAGGAAGCAAAAAACACCCAATCAAAACAGCAAGAAGAAAAAAGAATCCTAAAAAATGAGGATTGTGTAAGGAGCCTCTGGGACAACTTCAGGTGTAACAACATTCATATCATAATGGTGCCAGAAGGAGAAGAGAAAGAGCAAGAAATTGAACATCTATTTGAAAAAAATAATGACAGAAAACTTCCCTAACCTGGTAAGGAAATAGACATACAGGTCCAGGAAACAGAGTCCCAAACAAGATGAGCCCAAAGAGGCACACACCAAGACACATCATAATTAAAATGCCAAAAGTTAAAGACAAAGAGAATTTTAAAGCACCAAGAGAAAAGCAGTTAGTTACCTGCAAGGGAGCTCCCATAAGACTGTCAGCTGCTTTCTCAGCAGAAAATTTGCGGGCCAAAAGGGATTGGCAATAAATATTCAAAGTGATAAGAAGCAAGGACCTACAAGCAAGATTATTCTCCCCAGCAAAGCTATCATTTAGAATCAAAGGACAGATAAAGAGGTTCCCAGAAAAGAAAAGGCTAAAGAAGTTCATCACCACCAAACCAGTACTGTATGAAATGTTAAACAGTCTTCTTTAAGAAGAAGGGAAAAAAAAATCAACAAAAGGGTAGTACATACTCATCTATCAACTATTGAATTAAAAAACAAAATGAACAAGCAGAACAGAAATAGACTTATAGATATGGAGAATATATTTGATGGTTGCCAGATAAGAGGGGGCATAGGTGGAAAAAGTGAAGGGATTGAGAAGTGTGAATTGGTAGTAATGGAGTAGTCATGAGGATGTAAAGTATAGCATAGAGAATATACTCAATAATAACTATCGTATCAGATGGGTACTAGATTCATTGGGATGATCACGTAGTAAATTACATAATGTCTTATCACTGGGATATTCAAGTGAAGCTAACATAATAAAGTATGTTAATTGTAATTGAAAAAAATAGGAAAAAAGAACATATGCACCCCACTCTTCTTTGCAGTATTATTTATAATAGCCAATATCTGGAAACAGTCTAAGTGCCCATCAGTAGATAATTGTATAAAAAAGCTATGGGACATTTACACAATGAAATACTACACAGCCTTAAAAAAGAAGGAAATCTTACCTCTTGTGACAGCATGGATGGACTAGAGGTTATTATGCGAATTGAAATAATCCAGTCAAAGAAAGACAAATACTGTATGATTTCATAAGTGAAATCTAATGAACAAAATAAACTGTAGAACAAAATGGAAACAGAGGCATGGACACATGGAACAGACTGACACCTCTCAGAGGGGAGGGAGGACAGGGGACTGGGTGAAAGAATGTGAAGGGAGGGGGACTTCCGGCAAGATGGAGGCATAGGTGGACGCACTGTACCTCCACACACAACCAAGATTAGAACAACAAAAAGTTAGAGGCAGAATAACACCCAGAACTGACAGAGAATTTATCTGAATGGAAGTCGGACAGCCAAGAAGTTGAAGTAGACCTGTTCATCCAGACAGATAGGAGAGGTGGAAAGGAGCAGCCAGGCACGGGTCACGGCGTGCGGAGAACAGGGAGAATTGGGCACATAAGGCAACCGGGAGCACATAAGGTATCCGGGGCGTGCAAGATCGCAGCGGGTGGACCCTGAGTACACAAGCGTCAGTTGGCAGACCCAGTGAGGCGGTGATTGTGGAGCCAGGCAGAGCGCACAACCCAGGATCCCAGCGAAGGGACAGAGGTCCCAGGAGAACAGAGCTACCGCCATTGTTCCCTCCTGCCCCCACATACAACCTCACAATCTAGCAACTGGGGTCCTCAGCCCTGGTGAACACCTAAGGCTCCACCCCTACCGTAACAGGAGCTACCACACGAAAAAAAAAAAAAACAGAGAGAGACAGAGAGAGACATGTCTCAAACAGAAAAACAGATCAATGCCCCAGGGATCATCCTTTTGAGTGACCAAGAGATAGCCAATCTATCAGATGCACAGTTCAAAACACTGGTGATCAGGAAGCTTACAGAATTGGTTGATTTTGGGCACAAATTACATGAAAAAAATGCAGGTTACCATAAAAGAGATGAAGGAAGATGTAGAGAGAACCAATAGTGATGGGAAGGAAACTGGGACTCAAAACAATAGAGTGTACCAGAAGGAAGAAAAAAACAACCAAACAGGAAAGCATGAAGAAATAAGAATTCAAAAAACCGAGGAGAAGCTTAGGAACCTCCAGGACATCTTTAAATGTTTCAACATCCCAATTATAGGGGTACCAGAAGGGGAAGGGGAAAAGCAACAGATTGAGCACGTATTTGACAAATAAAGGAGAACTTCCCCATTCTGGCAAAGGAAATAGACTTCCAGGAAATCCAGGAAGCTCAGAGAGCCCCAAAGTAGTTGGGCCCAAGAAGGAACACTCCAAGGCACATCATAATTACAGCAGCCAAGGTAAAAATGAAGGCAAGAATCCTAGAAGCAGCAAGAGATAAGGAGACAGTCACCTACAAAGGAGTTCCCATCAGACTGTCAGCTGATTTCTCAAAAGAGACCTTACAGGCAAGAAGAGGCTGGAAAGAAGTATTCCAAGTCATGAAAGACAAGGACCTACATCCCAGATTACTCTATCCAGCAAAGCTTTCATT